GGGTGCCGGGCTTGCGGGGTGCGGCGGCGGTGGGGCTGGGGCAGACACGGGTGCTGGGCTTGCGGGGTGCCGGTTTTATGCCCACCACTAATCTTTTCTACGCGTTGAAGGTCTCTCAATCCTGGGTATGCTGGTTGGGCTCCGGTATCTAGAGGCAGAACCAGTATCCAGACAGAAGAAGAGAAACTGAGGCCAGCCCTGCCACCTCCAAAAAACGTCATCGTCTTCCACCTTCGCCGGTCCTCCTTCATCCTGCGTCCTTGGATCATTTCTTTGGGGCTGTGTCCTTAGCTCCTTCATCTAGGTTCAGCATCATTAAGCTTTTGAGTCTTTGTTTTTGTTTTTTTAATGTTTTTAAATTTTTAAAACATTCATACAGAAAAATTATGTAACACATATGTATAATTTAGAGTCGTTTAAGAAATATTCTGTTACTCCATCAACGTCAAGAAATCCTCAGAAGCCCCCCACCTCCCCCCACCCCCCACCCGCCCCACGTGCCCTCCTCCCCCAGCTGGATCCAACCCCCAGGCTCCCTTCTCCAGTCCTTCACTCTGTCATTTCCTCTCCATTCCTTGATTTGGCTCGTGTGGTGGGAACGTGAGAACTGTGAAACTCAATCTGCTGCCTGCCCAGAGCAGCAGCAACCAAGGGCTGCTTCAAAGGATTGTCCACACGTGCTGGGCTCCTTTCTGCTGCTGGACCCAAGACTCGGAACCAGCCAAGGGACAGGGCAGTTCTTCCAAGAAGGGCTGCCCTCGGTGTGGGCAGGACCAGGCTTCTCTTCTGTCTTCCGGTGGATAAAGGGTAGAAGAATCTGGGCTGTTTTTAGACCTTTTGGTCAGTTGTATTTATGTAATGCATTTTATAATAAATAGAAAAACCGTCTATTCTGATCAGCCTTTGACGTTTCCCAAGAGCCTCTGTACCCCCCACCCCATGGACTCCAACACTGGAGCATCATCGCTCTCTGCAGCTTTACATCCACTGGAGATAGAACCACTCAAGACCCAGGAAAGCCTGGCTGCCTCCAGCTCCTCCCTGTCACTTGCTTACTTGTGTTCTTGATGCCAAATCTCCCTTCCTTCTTCACCTTCAGGATTCTACATCGACAGCTCAACAGTTACAGCCCTCTCCCGTTTTCTTCCCAATGAAGTAGACTCTTGAGAACAGGAAGAGAAAGTAGAACAAAGCAGCCCAGGAGAAACAGCTGTGAGCTCGTAAAGAAGCAAGGGCAATGTCTCCGTGTGAATAGTGCTCCCTGAGCACTGATGATGCTCCCTCCCTGATGATGCTCCCTGAGCACTAATCCCAGCACTCAGGAGGCAGAGCCAGGCGGATCTCTGTGAGTTGGAGGCCAGCCTGTTCTACAGAGCAAGATCCAGGACAGGCTCCAAAGCTAAACAGAAACCTGGCCTCGAAAAACCAAAAAAAAAAAAAAAAAAACAGGCTCAGTCCCTTCTCTATGTCTAGTAGAGCATGGTTTCTCCAGATAAGAATTGATAAGAAAGAGTGCCAGAATGTCACCGGCACGGAGCGCATCTCAAAGCAAGAAAGATGCAGAAAAAGCGACAGCCGGGAACCTAGTAACAGTGGAGAAGGACAGGGATGGCAGTCCCCGAGAAGGTCGCCAAGCTGCCAATGCTTGAACTAGGCTGTGGACGCCGGCCAGAGCTAGCTGGTGTGGGTCTGGGGTGATCAAACAAAACACTTCAGCTGCCCTTTGAGGCAGAGCCAAAGACAACACTGGACCTTTCTCTTGGGGAGGAGCACATTCCAGCGTATACACAGGAGGGGGAAAGTCAGGGTCACAGGTTGGCCACTGCGTTATATCTTCTGTGTAGGCGGTCAGGAACCTTTAAAGGCTGTTAAAAAAAAATCCAACAGGATGTTACACCCTTGTCAACAAAGGACACAGATGTTCTGGCCCCAAGCCCTGCCCCTCACCCCCAGCCGATCCCCAGACAGTCTCAGAAAAGTGTGATAACCTTGTGGGGACAGCCCAAATGACAAGGCAGGCCACTTTGAAAATCTTTATTGCCTTAAAATATCTGGTATTATAAACAGGAAATACAAACTCTGGTTTTTTTTTAAATAAATGGATTGCGTAAACATGTCCATTTTGAACAGTTGAAGAAAGAACACCTTTCTCTTGACAGAAAGTAAGGCACCTCTCCCTGCCATCCCTAACACTGCCTCAACCCCAGCTTTCCTCCCGTCTGCTGCTCAAGTCTACACACAACATACAAACACGCGTGTGTGTACACACAAGTGGCCTGGCACCCCAACCCTGCAGGCAACCCCGCTATTCTGGGACGCTAAGGCCATGGCCAAGGCCAGACGACTGAATGTTCTTGACCAGAGTCGCTCGAGGCACAGGAGAAATTAGTTGCCAGTTTCTCATGGAGGAGACCTTACAAGAGCCATGAGTATAACCAGCAGACTGGGTGAGGAAGGAGGTCAACTGGGATTGGTTTAGGAGTCCTTTTCAACTTCAAATATCTGGCAGCTTTTGCTAGCAGAGGCAGGAAGAGTGTTTGGTTGTACAAATCCTGTCCCCGGCATCCACGGGATTATGTTTACCTGAAACAGACAGAATGTCTATTTTAAGAGTCACCTTCTGCCCCGTTCCTCAGAGATAGCCTCGGGTGTCTGAGCACAGTAAATGTGACCAACTTTCAATAGAGGTTAGAGCCACGAGCTGCCGCTGGCCTGATGGCCACATTTCCCAGTGCAAGACCCAGTGACAACATTCTGAGTGGCCTGGGACACTGGAGTCCCTGGACAAGCACCTCTCATAGGAAAGCATCTTCCCGTTCCAACCCAAGCTACCAACTCAGAGCTACACACACACACACACACACACACACACACACACACACACACACACACACTCAAGGTGGCTCCCAGCACTGTTGCACTTAGGCAGGGATGGGGTGATATTTTGCTTGTGCTCTAACAAATAAAGCTTGCCTGAAGATCAGAGGGCAGAGCCAGCCACTAGTGAACCACAGCAGAGGACAGGCAGTGGTGGCACACACCCTGAATCCCAGCACTTGAGAAGAGGAAGCAGGAAGCTCGGGAGTTCAAGGCCACCCTGGACTACATGAGACTGAATCTGTCCAAACGAGAACCAGAGCCAGGCGGCGGTGGTGGTGGTGGCTCACACCTTTAATCCCAGCACTAGGGAGGTGGAGACAGGAAAATAAGGCAGGTGGAGACAGGGTCTCAGACCATTCAGTCTGAGAATTAGTGGAGACAGAATCTCACCCCTTCGACCTGAGGATTGGGTATCGGTAAGAAGACTCTAGTGGCTGGCTCCTTTACTGATCTTTCAGCATCTACCCTGATATCTGGCTCCGGGTTTTTATTATTAAGACCAATTAGAATCCGTGCTACGCAGGGAGCCCTCTCCAGTCAGTTTCTCCTTCCGGCTACAAGAGAGGTTTTGTCTGATTTATTGGTGTTTCGTCTGGGCTCTCAGGAAAGAAGGTAGGAAGAGAGACTGCAGTGTTTGGCCAAGGCCAAGAGTCCTGACAGAGCTGCCTCTGTGGAGTGATGGGCTCTGATGGAGGCTGGACCCTGGTGCTTCCTCACCGTGACCCTCAGGCAGAGCACCTTGCCTGTTCTCGGTGAGAACTGGGCTTCATGCGGATAAGTCTTAAGACATTAGAAAAAGTTAATATCCTGAATAAGCTTTCTTAGGATAATTCTGCAAGCATTCTCCACGAGAGAAAGGATAAGAAGGCAAGGGACCAAGCAAGGATGAACTCCGACACCCTTCACCAGCCTCCCCCAACACTAGCCCCAAGACATTAACAGGGAGAGGGGACTAGAATCCAGTCTACATCTGGAGAGAGGTGAGGCTGGCCCCAAGTAAACCATCCGGGTTCTCAGGTAGGGCCCAGTGGGCATAGGCACGGCCTTGCAAGCCACAGATCTTCCAGCTGCTCCCTCTAGAAGCTTCTCCATGAAGATCGAGGTGCTAACAGTGTCTCTGTTCCTGAGTCTCTGCCACCTCTCTCTCTCTGTCTCTGTCTCTCTCAGAGACGAGCCTCGGACACGACCGTGGGGGCCTTGCTGATATTGCTCTCTTCCTCCTCCTGGACTTTCTAGAAGACAAAGAAAACAGGAAGCCCTGTGATTAGAACACACAGATCTCCTCCATCCTGGCTGAAACAGAATCCCTGTCCATGGCAGATCACTGTGAGTACCAGGGCAAGAAGCCACCCACTGTCTCCCCCCACCACCACCCCCAGAGAAATAAAAGACACAAGGGAGGAGCAAGCAGCCCAGCCTGAGTGTACACACACACACACACACACCGCGCCACCGCCGCCGCCGCCGCCGCCGCCGCCATACACTGACCCCCACCGTTACCACTCTCAGAGAGAACAGAGCCAGCGTCCTGTTCTGACAGCCCCAAACTCCCCTCCCCATGCCATCAACTAGCTGCTCTAGGTTTCAGATCGGCAGCTCCCTCAGACTCTCCAGCCAGCCCCACTGGGAGGTGGCCCCAGGATGAGGGTTATTATAATGTCCATTGAATGGATGCCATCCAGCAATTTTTTTTTTTTAAGATTTATTTATTTATTATGTATACAGCATGTATGACTGCAGGCCAGAAGAGGGCACCAGATCTGATTACATATGGTTGTGAGCCACCATGTGGTTGCTGGGAATTGAACTCAGGACCTCTGGAAGAGCAGTCAGTGCTCTTAACCTCTGAGCTATCTCTCCAGCCCTCCATCCAGCAATTTTAAGACACCCTGCTTGATTGTATAGTTGAACTCAATGGCCGTGCGGTTCTATGCACTCAGAGAGAAAAACACCGTAGAAGCTCTTCAGAGGGAACTAGTCTGGACTTGGCTTCTTTGGGGAAGGCTATGGCATGGAATTCATTCATAGGAAGTCTCCTGGCTCACACTTGTTAAGTGGGTTTGGGATTAAGCATGGCCTAGAAATTCTCCCGTGGGGTCTCTGGTAGGCATTGCCAACTTGGGCATTTGGCCGTCTTCTAATTGGCAAAAGGACCTTGAACGCAGACGGCACTGAAAAGCCAGCCCCGCTCACGGCCCGGCGGAGTGTATGCAGGGCCAAGCTAGAGGCCGATGCCAGCTCAACAAATAGAGCTTTTGTCCCCAGGAATTGCCTGGGTCCCATCCATGGCGAGGGCCACAGCCGTAGTAACCCAGCCCTCTGGTTCTGGGTCTCACAGGAATTTGGGCACCAGGCCTGCCTCAGCCATTGGTAACCTTCATTCAGACAACTCCCAGCTGACCTGGTCACTCTCCGCATTTGACACACACAATGTGTCTCCACATGCCTGTCTCCTCCCAAGCTACCACCTCAAAACTGCCATTAAAAAATAGGTTAGGAGTAGGGTGGCACATCTACATTCCAGGTGCCGGAAGAAAAAAATGGGCACCCAAGGTTTCACAGTCAAGGTGGAGTCATTCTCTCTGTCCTTAAGTTCTCTCGTTACCTAAACAGTGCATCTCACTGATGTATACAAAGGGCAGATGCAGCTAGACCCGATGCATACCCTGTCCTCCCTGATAATGTGTTTGTCTCCAAGTCTCTGAGTTACACTGACTGCCTTGGGGGTGTGTAACGATCAGGGCTCCAGACAAAGGGTGCACTGGCCACTGTAGCTTCCTTCTTGTCAGCCCCAGCATACCTCTGACCTCCCCTTAACCCTAAGTAGCTCTAGATGCCAGTGAGGACCAGAATACAAGGATACGAAACGGGCATACTACATAAGCGAGCCCCATTCCAGGAACTTAAGGCACCTAGGCCCATTCAGCGCTGCTTTCCAGTATTCTATCCTCGAGGAGACCGGGCCAACAACTCCACTTGATTGACAAACTGAGTCAATGCACAAGGATTTGCCTCCACCAAGAGTGAAGTTTTATAACAACTGAAAATGTAAACAAGATGGAAATACGCATGTCTGCAGATGGGAGGCATAGAGTGTAACTGATGATGGAGTTTATCTTTTTAAAAAAAGTGTGTGTG